AATGGTATCAAGTTTATCACACCAGTGGCAAACAACCCCTACCCTACTGTGGGGTTAGAAAGGGGGCACATTTATTCCAAAGTTTCACTCAGACACTGCCAGTTTTTGTTGAAATCTTTCTATATTTTTGCACTTTTTATTGATGTATCTCCCTCTATTTGCTCTTATGATTTACTGTATTCTCTACATGGTGTCTTTTTTACTGGTAATACGTCTTGATGATCTCAACATCTGGTGTGATTAAGTTGATCCCTATATAGATTTAGAACGATGATTTGTCTGTATGGAATTCGATGTCACATCTAATGCATTTTACTTCCAGACAAATCCTCGGCCTACTACTGTCAAATAAACATTATACAAATTAGGTCATTTAAAATGTGGAAACCACAAAAAAATAAAAAGTGAAATAAAAATAATGCTTGTCAATCTCAATAGTTGTTTGTCTTTTTCCAGACTAATTGCTTGATGAATGAAAAAAAAAAGGTTCAACTGATTTCCAAACATTAATTTGATCCCAGAAATCAATATGTGTCTCAATTGTTTCCAAAGATGAAACCTTAAAAATAGATTGCAGCTACCCCACAAATAAAGCAACATTGATGCTGAAGATTTGCTACCAGAACACAAGTTAGCCTGCCATCTCAATATTAATTGGCTTTTGCTAAAATCCCAATTGTGCCAGCCAGTATGCATGTTTTTGTGGACTGCTGAAAGTTAAATTTTTCGTGTGAACTTCTAGTAACTGGTATAGTCCAGAATAATCTTTCTATAAATGTTACAAGGAGTCTGGTCTTTAAAATTCTACTTGCTTGGGAACTACAATTAATCTAGAGTGGTGGTTTAAACAAGTCGAGAACTGCAAAATATTGTTATAGGATAGGCATAGCTTTCTCTTTTGACGAGAATTTAATGATCACAAAGTTTTGAATATCCTGAAAAAACAATTAGAAAGTTTACTGTACACCCAAACTATAGAGGGCGCTTGATGGCTAAAATACTGGTGCATTTTCTCAACTGGACGCACAGAGCTGGGAACAGCCACTGGTGGCGTTGTATAGTTGCAAAAACTTTGGTGGCTTGCAAAAATAGCTAAGGCACAATGCTTCATCTCAAAAAATAATCAACTTCAGTGAACTTTCCCAATATCTAGTTTTGGTTCCCGTAACTCTGGATTTAGTCTTTCATCTTTAAATAACAAATGCAGTAATCACCGATACTGATTCCCCTACCTTGAACTGATCTCAAGGTGCTGGTCGTACTTCCCTATATTGGCTTCTTGATCAGAATTTATCAATTGCAAAGTGATCAAAATGTTTGAATACTTGTAAGGTTACAATTGTTGATTTGAACTCAAGATTGGTAGCCCGCTATCCCCACTTCCCTACAAGAATCTTTTATATACAAAAAATGGCTCAGTAAGCCAAGAGGTACGATTTAAAATGTGGGATAGTCAATTGAAATGTTATCCAGATGTTGTAAGATGAATGCTAAACAAGTCTCCAGTAATAGGTGTCATTCTAATATTCGATTGAGGTGGATTCAAATAATCAAAATAGCTGACATGCTAATGTTGTTATAGTTTCATCAGCCATCCAAAATCTATTCAAGTGATCAATAACATCTAATCTTGATGGTATTTTGTTTGGCCAAAATTTTGCTGAAGAATCAAGATGGTGGACTACATAAATTGATGAAAAGTTGAATATCTAGAGAATGAAAATTGATATAAAACAATGTAAATTGCATGTTTCTACATTTGCCGAGCTCATTCATCTGGGAGTATTCTGTTGTGAGCTTTGACTATTCCTTTAATTCTAATAAAAATTGGTGAAAAGCTAAAAAGTAATTATTATGGATGTATACAAACCCCCGACCTGATTAAATGTAGCACATGTTTTGCATGAATGTTTTGGTGGGCCTCTTTGGTGGCACGTGACGCTATATTGATCCTGTATTGTTTATACTTTACTTATTGGTCTTTATTTACAAATTTAAGGCCATCGGCCCATAAAAGTATTTACACATACAAGAAGAATATTCAAAAAATAAAAAGAATATTTAAATAAAATCACATATCTCGTTCCTAAGTATCAATGCATGAAAGATGCTGCAGCCAGTGGTTGTAAAATGTCAGAATTTTGAGAAGTGTTAAGATCTATAAATTTATCAAAAGATGGGGTATTATAAAATGTATTGGGTAAGTATGAGGTTCGCAATTCGTGGTAATATGGGCAAACAAGGAGAAAGTGAAACTCATTTTCAATTTCATCTATGTCACAAAGAGGGCAAATACGTTTGTCTCTCTCAATTACACCACGATCTCTTTTAATGCGAAGGCAGTGAGAAGAGCATCAAAACCGTGCAAGAGCTACTCTATGGGAATAAATTCCAACAGATTTTAAGTATTTTTCCGGCTGCAATGTAACCTTAAATTCCCGATATGTAACCAGTTTGTCTAAGGAACAAATATCAGTAAGCCACTCAAAATGTAGGCATTTCTTAAAATGACATGAAAATACGCTTACAAATTCCTGAATATTGCCTACTTTCTGCGAATACCAAACATGCCACCCAGTTAGGTTTCGCCCTCACCCCCGATTTGTCTGTTATATAACATGTTGTAGCATTTACGTGGGAGTCTGTTACTTGACATATTGATGATTTTAGCCCAATATTTGATGCATGGTTTGCGGTGTAAAAGAAAACAGGTTATCTTCCACACTCGCCCAGTACACAATTGTTAGGTTGTTTATACTGGTTTTACATGTTGCATGTGTCAAAACGGTCACATCAGACCTATAGGTACATAATTTTGACAACAATCATACATTTGTAGACATTTTGTGATTTTTGTAAAAAGTAATATTCTATTTATTTTCTCAAAAAATCTATAACTTGAAATTGTCACCAGCCCAACTGAATAGTTACCTGTGCCAGGCATATGGGCGGGCAGTAATTTCAAACACTGTTATGTGCATACAGCAGTGACAAAATTGTTAGTCAAAATCTTCTACAATTATTTGTTTTAGCATCAGTTAACAGTATGTGACATTTTTTCGTTCTCCGTTACGTTTTTTTGAATAATATGCACAATGCCATTTTAGCAGCAGTTTACATAGACCACAATGAAAACACATATTCTTGTTAAAAACAAACTTCAAATAATGTCAATTTTTTATATACTTTCGTGTAGAATGATAGATATATTTCAAAATTAGAGACACTTGTGAGTATAAAAATTATGGTTGTAATTGATAAGCATTTTTATTTTTAACCATTATCGTTTTGTCAAAGTTAAGCCGAGTGCGGGACGTCTTTTCCTACTAGTATATTTATACATAAATACAGTCGTAACGAGTAATACAATACCATCGAAATGACTTACTATCGGCTGCAAAGGCAAATAAACAACAAATACAGCGTTGAAAGTGTTTTTCTGCGTCAATAACAGATGCTTGTTATCGTTAGAATGCCAACGTAGTTTTTAAGGCACACATAAAAAGAACATGGGGGGGGATCCTACCTTGTGCTCTGTCACCCAATCATGAATGGAAACTTTCATCACGAAAACCAACAAGTCCACAATTCCACGAAAGTAACTAAATGCAAATAGCACCGCCCAGTAGCACCACTTTGAATTATATCGTCTGCTCAACAGCGCATGCTCCGTATTGCCTACTATTAGTCAACAGCGCATGCTCTGTAGCGTCTGCACGACTCAAATATTATAGACCCTTTTGGGCACCGTGGCTGGACGATCTAAGTATGGCTAATATAAAAAAAAGTTTACACATGTATCTAATATTTACAGCGGGTGCAAACGACATTCGCAAGGGGAGTTAGCAAACTCTCTACTAAAGTCCCCGTTATTAAACGCGATTATTAGATTTTAATAGCGCCACCAACGGCACAATAGCATGTTTTTATATAACCACGAACTAAAAGTGAGTGTGGTACTAGTAGTTTCCAGCAGCATTTTCTTTAATATTGGGCAAATCACAAAACATATGATTAAATTCATAATGTGAAATAAAAATATTAGCGCTACTCTCAATGGACGTTGCTTGTTGACCTTTGCACTGGCATGCGTGAC